CGCCATTGATGTTGATACCGTATCCTTTCCAGTCCAGAAGCTTGAAAACATCTTCCAATGCAGCGGTAAAGAGTTTCGGGGATATGACGTCACCCTGTCTTACACCTCTCTGCAATTGGATAGGTTTCGTACTCTGGTTCTGTACTCGGATAGCCATCGTAGCCCTACTGTACAAGCACTTCAACACTTCGATATACCGACAGTCAACTTGGCATCGCTGAAGGGACTGCAGCACCGCCCAAATTTCGACGGAATCAAAGGCTTTCTCATAGTCCACATACGCCAGACATAGTGGCAAATTGTACTCCTCGGACTTCTGTACAATTTGCCGAAGGGTATGTATGTGGTCTATGGTGCTAAAGCCTTTTCGGAAACCGGCTTGTTCGGGAGGCTGGAAGTCGTCAAGTCTGCGCGCGAGACGATTCGTAATGACTCTCGAAAACAGCACGTAGACGCGGCTCAGAAGGGAAATCGGTCTGTAGTTCTTCAAGAGAGCGTTGTCGCCTTTCTTGAAGAACAAGACCACCGCACTTCTGCTCCACACCTCCGGTGTAATGCCACCATGGAGGACGGAATTAAAGAGCTTCTGAAGGACTTCAAGTACCGGTTTTCCACCCGCTTTCAGAAGCTCCGCTGTAATTCCATCCTCGCCTGGGGCCTTGCCGTTTTTAAGGTGCTGGAGAGCCATTCTAATCTCGCTCAGACTGACGTCCGGGATATCATCGGAATAATGTCGGATAAGACTCGCTCTTGGATCGTTACTCACACTTGCGTGCGGCTCCAACGATGACGTGTACAGCTGCCCATAGAACCTCTCAATCTCACTCAAAATCTCAGGTGCCCCGGAAACGATGCTGCCACATTCTGTCTTCAGCTTTGACAGTTGGCGCTTTCTGGCAGACAGATCTCTGGCAAAGACTTTAGAGCCTTGGTTCCGCTCGATCGCTTCTTCAATACGAGCTGTATTGAAGTTGCGTAAGTCCCGCCGCATGCATTTAGAGATCTGTCTGTTCAGTTGCCTGTATGCTGTTAAATCTGTTGAAGAATCTAGCTTCATCTCCCGTCTAACAGCCATGAGATTAAGAGTGTGATCGGAGAGTTTTTGTGTTCTTCTGCGGCGGGTCTTGCAGAACTTAGCTCCGACCGCATGGACAGTTTCCACGAGCTTGTCATTCAAATCGTCCACTTCATTGCAGTCTTCTAGGCACTGAAAACGGTTTTGTAACTCGAGCTGAAAGGTTTCGGGACTTTGGATTAGAGCACGAGGGGGACGGAGCGTTGACTTCATTAGACGAGACCTCTCCAACTTAACGTTTAGGTTCAGTGTGCCTCTAACCATTCGGTGATCGCTGCCGGTTTTCACCCTCGCGATCACTGAGACATCACTGAACAGTTGTCGTCTGGTCGTCATAATGAAGTCAATCTCATTTTTTGTCGAACCGTCGGGGCTCGACCAGGTCCACTTCCTGTGGGGCCGCTTCTGGAAGAAAGAGTTCATCATAAAGAGTCCCTCTTTCTCCATGAAGTCGGCCAGCTGCTGGCCCCTTGGGTTCCGTTGCCCTATTCCAAATTTCCCTACTTTCAGCTCACCGTTCTCTCTTGTGCCTAGTTTTGCATTGAAGTCTCCCATTAACACCGTATATTGGGTTTTGGAGGAATGCATGGCTCTAGAGATATCCTCATACATTTCCTCCACCTCCCCATCGGGGTGTGCTGAGGTTGGTGCGTAAACCTGTATGACCTTCAGCGAATACCGTTTGGTGATTCTGAGTATAAGGTACGCAACCCTCGTCGACACACTCTCAATCTTTACAACGTTGTTAACGAGAGACTTGTGGACGATAAATCCGACACCTCCTTGGGACAGATGGTCGCCCTCCCGGTAATAGAGCAAGTTACCGGATTCGAGGATTACCGTGTCCTCCCCCTCTCTTCGGACTTCGGATAATCCTATAATATGCCAGCGTAACTTGTCTATCTCTTCTTCCAGCTCCACAATCTTCTCGTCAGTCCTCAGGGTGCGTGCGTTGTATGTTGCCAGGTCGAGTCGTCGTAGGTGGCAACCGAACCTCCACCGGAGATTCTTAGCACCCCCTGCCCCGCCGTTACCATGGTCGCCACCGTAGCCAGGAATAGCGGGGCCGCCGGGGACTGGGGGCCGTTTATTATTGTCATTGCTCATGGGGGGTATATTGCCATAGTTGCCACGCTTGGCGAGCGGGTTGGCAACCGCAGTTTTTTTTTATTGTTATTTTGGCTATTATCAGGAAGATGCTGCTGCCCATCTCCTGCCTGTTTCCCTTTGTCGCCTTTTACGACACCCACGGGAAGATATGGGGTAGTGGATATTCTTAACCGCCACTACACGGCAAATATATATTATATATTTGATTTTATATAATATTATAATTATAAATAAATATAATAATACAATTCACTTCACAAAAGAAGAAATATCTAGGAACACCTTGGAGAAAATTGTACTTTACAAAGTCTAACCTTATTCATATATTCTGAAAAAAAATCAATTTTTGTTTCTTTATAAATTTAAGACGAAATATTATTAAACATGAATAGAAAACCAATTTAGAAGATTGCCAATTTACATTAGCTTTGTCTGCGCCGAACGTTTTATTAAACATTATATGTCAAGTGTCATTTTTGTTCCCCCACCTCAACACAAATCATTCATCCATCTTACGAAGAACATCGCTCTCACCTATTTTTATTATTAAATTGTGAACCTGCAAATATATTAAATATTTAATCAGACTCCGTGTTTGCATTTATGTCCAATACGAGACATAAAAAATTGGCGACCGTGACAGGACAATATATCAAGAAATAAGACGATTTTTCAAGACGCTTAGGACACCGGTCAATTACTACACCGCAGCAACCTATCGTCTCAAAAACTTTTTACCACGGGATATTTCGAAGAATAAGCCATTGCAGTCAACGCCGGACAGTGGTAGCTCCGCAGCCAGACCAATGTGCTAAGTGTCTTCCTATAAATTCCCGTCTATACAACCCTAAATTTCCATTTTATCATTATTTCCACTTGTTTGTTTATTTGCAATATATTACGTCATATTTTGAATACTTATATACTAAATTCAACAATATAATTGTCATATTTTAGACAATTCCAACAATTTTCAATATTTTTTTTTCAAAGTGGGTACTTTCATATTATTACATTTCTTTGTTCATTGCGTAAAAATTATTTTAGTTTTATTGCGTACATATTATCTGCCCTTCATATATATTATTTCTAGACTTTTCACCACGATTTGCCGAACATTCCAGGGTACGAGCTGTGATCGAACATTACCGTTGGAGCGCAACAATTGCAACAATTGCTACGCCTGCCTACCAGGTGACGCCAAGAGGGGAACGTGAGCTAAAATTTATGTTTTTATTTTTTATTGTCCTTCATCATAACATTATTTATTTATTTCTTTATAAATTTAATTAAACTGATTTTAATATATTCAAATTAACTTAAAATTTTTAGTTTAAATTTTCATTTCTTTAAAAATATTTTACTTGCAATTTTAACTTAAAATATGAACAAAAATAAAGATTTGGCTACTGAAACAAGTGCTAAAGACATGCAAAATTTGCAAGATTTGCTAGTAAAACGTAGTGCTATAAGGGGAATTAACGTTAAAACTTAACAACTTTGAATCGTTATTAAATAAATTTGATGACTTGCAAAATCAGATAGAGATATTAAATCCAATTAAATTAGATAGCGAAATTAATGAACAGGACAATATTGAACAATTGTTTTTTCGAACATTGCTATTGCTCAAAGTATTATAAAAGGGTGCCAATCGAAAATTTATAGTAAGGACTGCAATAACGAACCTAATTTTGGTAGCTGTTCTTCAGCAAGTTGTAATGATCAAATAATTTTAAATTGCCACAAATTCAAATCGCGAAATTTGACGCAGCGTACTTTCGCTGGCTCAAATTCCGTGACACATTTTTATCGCTTATTCATAATAACGAGCGTATCCCACCTATACACAAATTCCATTCCCTAATTTATTATTTAGTGGGCGATGCATCTCGTACCATTTCGAATTCGGTAGTGTCAAGTGATAATTACATAACTGCCTGGAATTTATTGTGTGAACGCTATAATAACAAACGGCAACTTATCAATTACCATTTAAATTCTTTATTAAGTCTTCAAAGATTATCACGAGAATCAGTTATGTCACTTCGATTTATGGTTGATCACGTCACAAAAAATTTGCGTGCGTTAGCCAGTTTAGGGCAGCCTACTGATAAGTGGGATGTTCTGATCGTGCATATTATGAGTTCGCGACTAGACAGCCGAACTAAAGCTAAATGGGATGGAATTTCATAAATTTTTAATCGATCGCGCGGATGTATTGGAGTCACTGCAAACTTCATCTAGTACAATTAATAAAAATTCAGGTCCATTGGGATCAATTAATAAACATGATCGACCACAAACAAAATCTTTTGCTTGCACTAGTGAAAATAATAATACCAATTCTTTTTCGTGTGTAGTTTGTCGCGGTGATCATATAATTTATGATTGCGCTAAATTTAAAGCTAAGAATGTAGATGATTGCATATCTGAAGTTAACAAACTAAGGTTATGTTTAAATTGCCTACGCTTTGGCCACAGTGTGCGTGATTGTTGGTTAGGTCCATGCCGCGAGTGCAAGAAAAAACATAACACTCTTTTGCATATACTACTTCCAAGTGATAAAGATTCTGATAAGAATGTTACTACATCCTGTGCTACTAAATCGGAAGAAACCGTAGCCAACATTTTTCAACAAAATTCGACACACGTTTTACTGTCTACCGCAATAATCGAAATATCAAATCCAAATACAAATAAATCTATAAGAGTGAGAGCACTATTGGACTGCGGTAGTCAGTCATCTTTCATAACTCAATCTCTCAAAGAAAAATTATCGTTATAATCATACAGCAACAATGTCATCAATATTATGGGCATTGGAAATAACCATACCAATAAAGCCATTGAAAGTTGTGTAGCGCAACTTCGTTCATTAACTGAACCTTTCAAGGTCAATCATTCCTTTCTTGTGTTACCGGAGCTTACAGGCAATATTCCTAAGTTCCCTATTGACATACAACAATTAAACATACCCAATAATATAAAACTTGCTGACCCTACGTTTAACCATTCTGCGCCTATTGATATACTCATTGGCGCCGAACTGTTCTGGTACATTCTAGGCTGCAAGCAAATCACGCTCGGCCCTTACAATCCTAAACTTAGAAGTTCCAAATACGGATGGTTAATTTCAGGTCTTTATACAAATTCATTTCATAAATCTAATAATATTACTTAATGTCATCCTTTAGCTACATTACCAAATTCTGGTATTGATTACAATAATATCAATATGCAAATGTCCAAATTCTGGGAACTAGAAGAAGTTCCACTAAAACGTCATTTAAACCCCAAGGAGAAGGCATGTGAAGCTCATTTTATTAATCACACCTTTCACCTCGAGTCAGGTCGATTCTCTATCAGTTTGCCCTTAAAAGATTCACCCTCAGAAGACTGTTTGGGTGAATCTTATACTCTCGCCAAAAAACGCTTACTCACTTTAGAAAAACGATTTAGAAAGCAGCCAGACGTCAAATTACAATACATAAAATTTATACGAGAATATGAAGAATTAGGATATCTTACCGAATCAACAATTTCTAAACCAGATCCTTCATATTTTCTATGTCATCATGCTGTATTTAAAAATAACAGTGAGTCAACAATGATCAGAGTAGTCTTTCATGGATCGGCTCCTACATCATCTGGTCATTCCATCAATGACATTCTTATGGTAAGCCCAAATATACAAAAAATTTTGTTTTCTATTCTTATCAGAGCACGTCAACACAAATATATCTTAACCAGCGACGTAGAAAAAATTTATCGGCAGGTTCTTATACATGAGCAGGATAGAAATATGCAACTGATATTACGGAGGGAAGATGAGTCTTTGCCTATGAAAACTCTCACTCTTAACACAGTTACATATGGCATAACGAGTTCTAGCTACTTAAGCACACGATGTCTTTGGCAAATAGGTGAAGAATGCTCAGATGAAAGAATAAAAACTATAATACAACATGATTTTCTAGTTGATGATTTAATTACCGGTAGTGATGACGATTATACTTTAATTTATATTCAACAAGCAGTTACATCAGCACTCAAACGAGGTTGTTTCAATTTAAGAAAGTTCAATACTAATTTACCTTTAATTTTCCACAAACGATGATAATTTAACCCTGAGTGAATCAACTAGCACTTTAGGAATAGGATGGGAGCCTACTACTAATGAATTATTTTTTCCTATCCAAAGCTCTCTACCGTCTCATGACAACAATATTACTAAACGGGTTATATTGTCATCATTGTTCAAAATTTTTGATCCTTTGGGATTATTAAGCTCATGTATTATACAAAACAAGATACTCTTGCAACAGTTATGGCGAGAGAAGCTAGGCTGGGATGATCCGGTGCCAACAGACATTAGGAGTGCTTGGATTAAATTTATTCATGCTTTACCTGCGCTCTTAAGACTAAAAATTCCAAGGCGCACTTCATGCGATGAACCTATCTCCATAGAACTTCATTCATTTCGTGACGCCTCCAAACATGCATACTTGCTTATATCTTGCATTTACCTCCGGTCTGTAAATTCCAAAAATGAGATCACAGTCAGACTCCTATGCTCTAAATCTAAGGTAGCTCCAATCAAGCCCATTACAATCCCCAGGCTAGAACTCTGTGCTGCTTTATTAGCCGCCAAGCTATATGAGGCTGTTAAGACTTCTTTGCGATGTCTCATACAACGTGAGACTCACTGGTGTGATTCTAGTGTGGTGTTGGGCTGGCTTAATAGTAGTTATTAAAATCTTAAAACATTTGTTGCAAATAGAGTTACCGAAATTAGTGAACATAGAGACCCAGCTTCGTGGCGATATGTACCGACTGATTTAAATCCAGCAGATCTCATTTCCAGAGGTGTCAGTCCTGATCAAATAGCAAGCAAAGATTTTTGTGGTCAGGACCTAGTTTTTTTATATCGGCTAGAGAATAATTGGCCTTTGTTATCAAAAACACAACAATTTAATTCAAGAGACCTGCCGGAGACCAAACATAAAACAATTTCGGCCCATGTAACTATTAATCAAAATTGTATAATTTTGTTTGAAAACTATTTTAAATGATTAAAATTAAAACATTCGGTTGCATACATATTACGTTTTATTCATAATTTAAAAAATTCAAATAATCGTATTTCTGGTAGTTTAACCGTCGAGGAACAAAGTAATTCATTTTATCACTTGTGTCGCTTAGCTCAACAGCAGTCATTTCCTGTAGAGTATAATTTGTTGGCAAATGGAAAATCTATTAGTACAAAATCTAATATTTTATCATTATCGCCATTTTTCGATGACAAGTTTAACGTGATTAGAGTGGGTGGCCGCTTAGATGCTTCAGAATTTACCTACGATAAAAACATGCCGTTCTCATTCACTTATCACATCACTTGACCAAATTAATTTTTTAATATGAGCATAGACACAATTTACATGCTGGCTCACAACTATTATTGTCAATAATAAGATAATCTGTTTGGCCAGTCAATGGTAGACATCTAGCGCGGCGCACAATACGTCAATGTGATACGTGTAGACGAATACAAGGAAAAACTATTAACCCAATAATGGGAAACTTGCCATCGCAACTTATTACTCCAAACTTCCCATTTAGAACTGTTAGTATAGTACCTTGCAGGCCCCTTTTTTTACTCTAAATAGAAAGGGCCGTGGTTCGAAATTAGTAAAATCATATCTTTGTCTCTTCATTTGTCTAAGATATAAGTGCATACATTTAGAGGCCGTTTCCGATCTAACGAAGGATGCGTTTATACTCACCTTCCGTAGATTTGTATCCAGACGAGGAAAGCCAGCAGAAGTATTCTGCGATAAAGACCGCAACTTTGTGGCAGGAGCAAAAGAATTAAACTGTTTTTTTAAGAATCACCAGGTATCCCTTTCTGATTTAGCGAGCGATGAAGGCACAAAGTTAATTTTTTCACCTTCTTACGCACCTCATTTTGGCGGCATCTGGGAGGTAACTCCCATCTAACATTCGAAGAGCTGACCACTCTTTTCGCACAAGTAGAATTAATCTTAAACAGCCGTCCATTATGTCCTCTATCCTCTTCTCCTGATGACCTCCAAGTTTTAACTCCTGGACACTTTCTCATTGGCCGAACTCTCACTGCGCTACCATCACCTGCCCTAGATGATCTCAATAGTAATCATCTTCAACGATACGAACGAATACAACAGATTTATCATCATTTTTGGTCACGCTGGCAACGAGAATACGTCGCCGAATTGCAACAGCGCTCCAAATGGGGATATGGTCCTTCTTCAAGAAGATAATGCGCCACCACTCTGCTGGCGTTTCAGACGCGTACAAAATTGTATCCCAGTCAAGACGGCGTGCCACGAGTGGTCGATGTCAATACCGCGAAGAGATGTGTTCGCCGCCCCGTCGTACGTCTATGCCCTCTACCTACTGCAGAAGACTTCAAGGATTAGGAGTTTGAAAGTCATCGCCTTTCAACGGGGGGAAGATGTCTGCGCCTATCGTTTTATTAAACATTATACGTCAAGTGTCATTTTTCTTCCCCCACCTCAACACACAAATCATTCATCCATCTTACGAAGAACATCGCTCTCACCTATTTTCATTATTAAATTGTGAACCTGCAAATATATTAAATATTTAATTAGACTCCGTGTTTGCATTTATGTCCAATACGAGACAAGCTTATTATTGCCAATGTTTCTTTATAAAAATAGTATTTGAAACTTGCAAATTCTTCAACAAAAGACTTACGAACTCGTTATGAAAATGACGGCAAAGCTAAATATGTAGTCTACATCTTTTAGATAATTTCTAACTATATAAAATGAAGAAAAGCCTTGTGAGTGTCATCACAGGTTCCGGCTTCCATTAAAAAAATGATTGTAACCTAAGTTAACGAGAATCGCCTTCAGATATATGTAGACGATTCTCGTTAACTGAAGTACATACTCGAATTTTTAAAATGCTAATTCAATCGTATCAGAAGAAAGAAATCATTGTCATATATGTATTATAATGAAAGGTATAGATGGTCTTATATATCCATCAAATGACGTTATATACATTCCCATAAAAGCGGAAACAATAATTTAAAAAAATCTTGAAAAAGAATGGCATCATTATGACTTAGTTTAGTTACTGAGACCTTGAATATGTTTATAGGAAAATATATTTTTACGTGTCTTCGTGAACACCTTTTCCATCAATTGCCATGCAGCAAACATTTGGTTCATTTATAGCGTGCTGACATTCAAAAACATATGGATATTAGGACAAAATATCTTGTTCACAAAACTGCGATAAAGCTAAGAAAAATACAGTTATATAATAAATTGAATCTTTTTAAGGGGTATAAATTAATTAGATTGTTGTATTTATTTAATAAATAACCATTGTTTTATAAATTCATTCCTGTTTTTATTGACTTGCGAAACCCTGCCATATATTTTCTTGCACACAGTCCACCTGATGGTAAGTGGTTGCTGCGGCCCATAGACATCTACATCTATCCTCTGTTACAAATCAAAATGTAGATGCGTTGTCACCCGTGAGGACTAAGATGGAATGCCTCATTTCCAGTAAAAAGGGCCTCCGGCCACCTGCACTCACGAAGCGAAACGCAGAGGTAAACCTCTATTTCACGCTGGTTTTTTGTGAGGTCGTGGTACTACCCCGGTTCGAGCCGGCCCATTCGTGCGACAGCAAAAGCTGCCGCGTGGCTCTACCACTGTTACTTTAACTAACGTGCCACGTTCTTCGCGGTGAAGGAAAATATCGTGAGGAAACCTGCATATCTGAGAAATAAGAAAAAAATGTTTCGAAGACATGTGAAGTTCGTCAACACGCATTGGAGCAGCGCAGCGGACACTTCTTTATCCTAAAACCCTCCCAGAAACAAGAGGAGGCCTGTACTCAGCAGTGTTTCATATTATATAGGCTGTAACATTAACTTTTTTACTTTAACTAATTAAAATTATACATATAACTAACTAAATTAAATTAACACATAAGCATCAACCATGGCGCATAACTATTTAACTGTTTCATCTCTATGTATCAGTATCTATAGAACACCTATTTACACTTGGCATAATATACAATTAGCGCTACGCTTGCTTATAAAAACTCTAAGATATTGAATAATATAGAATTTTATTATTTTTATAAAGTTGA